GGCTTTAAAATGGAAGCATTTTATATCGACCACTTGAACTGAAACAAAATTATATAGACATACTATCTCTTTTTTTTCGTAGTGATTGAAAGAGATCACAATATGTTTTTTTAGTATTTGTGCATGTCGTGCAGTATGTATAGTAGTTTGGGAATAGAGCCTGTGACACTTTCTGGGGTTCATATTTAAGATTAATATTCGCTGATAACACCAAATATCAGTCGAAAATCTAGATTACTATGTGGACGATAGAAGTCTGTTTACACAGGCCGGAGAGTAGAGGCGAGTACATTTTTATAGCAATTAAAATTGAGTTTTATCTGTTTGGAATATGGATTATTTTACTTTAAACGTCTTAGCTTATTATCAAGTGTAAAAAGATGTGCAAATTAAAATTAATCCTTGTGACATTGGAATATGGCTTAATTTTATTTGCAATAAAATCTACTCTACGCCCCGGTATGTGTAGACCTTAACAAGATAAACAGACACCCATGAATGTCACCTCTATTCTTTACAAATACTATGCATTTTGATAAATTTAAACAATACGCTATATTTTTAAACGTAATGGTAATATTTTGTTTATAAAAGGTATTCAACGATCTATTTATGCTGTGAACTTCGATTCATTTATTTTTAATGAACAATGACCATAGAATGAATTTATTTATACACATTTTTTAGAACCCAAAGTTTATTAAAAAAAAATCTGAACTAGAGAATGCATTGAACCATTAATCTAACTATGAGTATAAAATCTCACTAAACATCGTGTATGTAAACGTTTCCATCATCCCGGTATATGTGAAAACATTTTACGAGCCGTACGAAATACCTTGGACACTCTCCAAAGTTTTAAAAACAAAATTTAAAAAAAAACATTCGGCTCTGCAATAAATGTGATGAAGTTATCCGACACGTTCGTTGCCAAAGGAATTTTGTTTGTTCGAATACTTTGTAAACATGTGGAAAAAAAAAACAAAAAATAAAAACAGACGAATTGTGTACTTTCTTCTTTTGGGAAGTTAATAGCTCTACAATGTTAAATATTATTTAAGAATTAGTTCGGGACTTCGTTCTCATGGAATTAAAAAAAATATAAAAAGCATATGTTACTCAGTGACAACATAGCTTTTTAATAGCTAAAGAATTTTTAAGTTCATACGTTTTATTCGGAATTCCATTTAATAAAATTACGAGAACAAACTTCGTGTTATAATTCTTTTGTTACACAAACTTACCCACGCGATATAAACACGACAATTTTCTAGTTAACAATTCAATTGGTTTACCGTCATGTCACCGGCAGATTGTGAACACCGCCAGTTTGTAATTTACCTAGGCTGATTGGTCTATTTCAAACCGAAAACAGTCACAGTGACGTTGTTACAGCAATTCGTAATGTTGCTATTTTTTTGGTAACATTGTCATCATTTGTCTTTTTAACTGCAAACAAAATGTAATTTTTTGATTTTGTAAATTGTCAAAATACGCAATTTTTCAGGGTAAATTGCAAACGGACGGATTGCACGATTTTCCGGTAACTCCACACAATCTAAATAGAGATGGATCGTTGATAAGGCTTTTGTATGAAAATCGTTTTAGTACCAATTCGGCTGTTATCATGTTATCGGCCATAGAAGATAATCACTAGATAAACTGTACACTGCGAGATATAAAGGTTATAAGCATCTTTTTCTGTTATTAATGTTTTATTTAAAATATCTGTATCTATCTATACTATTATAATGAAGCGTAAACACACACTTCTTTGTTGCCTTAGATGTCAGCAATTACAGCATATTTTGGAATTATTCTTTCTTTAATAAAAAGCCCTACACTTACGTCACGCTTTAGCCTATATATTTTCACAATATCAAGCTTAGGAGGTAAATATTTTAGATAAAAACCCTAATGTGAGAAAAAGACCATAAGTTGCTGCCAACATCAAGAAAGCAAGGTTGTCAACATATGTCACAAATGTAAACAATAAAATTTTCATAATTTCATGCGGATAAAGTCGCACGGGAACAGCTAGTTACTTATATAGTTTAATCTGTAAGTGTTCCTATTTCGGTTAAAAAAATTCATGGCAAAAAAATTTGAAAAAACATTTTGTGTTTCTCTTTTGTCCATAACTGTACATTGCATTTTGATATATAAAAAAGCCTTACTCTTATGACTTGGATACTAAATTAATTATTTGTAAATTTATGTAATAAATTAAATAATTATATCAAAATAACAACATAGATAAAGTTTTGCAAAGAGTATGAGATTAAAAAATCTTTTACAACAAAGAATTTTTGCAAAAATTAATTACATGTTTATTCTAATGTCATTTATTAGTAACATACAAAAGTGTGAAATAATTTGGACTAATTTTTAGAGAGTTTTTTTCTTATTAAGTGATAAAACCAAGGTCGACGATTTCGCTTATCGCATCGCAATTTTTCTGTTATCAGTTCTTGTATGTAGAAGTTTATCTGAATATAATCAATTATAATTATTTCCTTATGTAAAAGGATTTTTTGGCGCATTCTATTTTGCTGTGAATAATTTGTAACTATGTAACTTCAATGACATTAATATAAATCAGCTCAGAAATATCAGCTCACGGCCTTGATGTGTTGAGCCGCAGCTCAACTAAATTCGGCTGAACTTGGCTGATCGGCTCAACTTGTACTATAATTATGGGAGCCATAGTCTCATGCGCGGTGATTCGCTGATCCGTGAGCCGGTTTACTGATCTGCTTCACACATGTGAACTGTGCTGGTCTATTATCTATGTAATGTATTTGTTTTGTCAACGGGAATGAAAGAGATAGAAATATGTATACAAGTGTCTCAACGGAGAACAAGACATCACTATGAGACACTTGTATACTGTAAAAGAAAAGTTTTTTTTTGTAGTGTTGGTGTTCACATATACAAATGTGGTGGCTCTAAAATTGATTATAATTCATTTGTAATTTATCTTCTCATTTTTTGGTGCAATAATTTGAATGTATTATAGGATTACATGATTTAGAAAGTAAGATATAAAGGAAATAATGTAATAAAGTAATTGTCTATGGTTGTCAAAGTATCATAATTGTAGCTTATGGTTTTCAGAATTAATATAAAAAGTAATCGTAGTGTAAAAAATATTCTTGTAATTTTTTTTGGCTGTCTTGTTCTTCCTTTAACTCCCAAAGACTGATTTTATGTTATTTTCAAATTTTTCTTCCGTCGTTATAATTTTAATGTTTTGTGATTATTCAAAAAAATGTATAAAAATGGCCCAAATATAAATTTGTGAAGTAGACCTTTACCTATATATTCTAATTGAGATTGTAGCTATCTCTTTCTACATTTAAATATTTTCAGATGAATATTGTAAATTCCCCTCTTAGATTAACTAATCATTAATCGTTTTGACTATGTGTACCGCTTAATGTAACCATACTGTACTGGGATGACAGATGTATTCATATTGTCTCTGGTTCATCAAAGATAGTAATATGAATTAATACAACTGTTAAAGCAGTGGATTTCTACTATAAAGTATATTAATTAGCGATTGGATATAGCTCAATTTATTTATAAAACATGTATGGTAGTTATTGTAAAAAAATATATAATTTGATTGATAGCTGTCACTGAAACAACGATCTGTGCCATACTCTTTGATATTTATTATCTGTTTTGTTAAAAAAAAACTTGATGAAACATAATTCGATTTAATTTTTACTGGAAATTTCAACATGATAAAGGACTCTTTTTATTAAAAGTGCACATTCTATTATTTTTGATATTTTATATGTATAAAATAAATGTTTTTATGAGTTTCAACCTTAAATCAGTGCCAAATTAAAAAATATTTAACAGTGCATCGAATTAAGGTGATTGACTACATCTACGAAAGTAGATTTTGAATAATTGTAGTGGTAATATCTACAATACAAACACATCTAACAGTTAAAAAGATGTTACCATTTTTTCATATTCCATTGCAGATGTATTTTCAACGCCATCTTAGTTTTCTTAATAAAGTGTTACAGACAACAGCTGATCATCTCAATGTAAATTTTTGCAACCTGTTAATTATTTTCACAGATTACTCAGATGAAAAAACTCAATAATATAAGTGACTAATATATTTTTTCCATTTTAAAACAAATTGTGTGACGCTTTATGCTATTACGCGTATAACACTATTTTTGTATAAATTAATCCTTAACTAAATTAAATAAAAATAATGCATTTATTGTTAACGAATTTATTTTGTGTTATTTATTTGACAAAAAATTTTCTTCTGTTATTACTGTATTGGACAGTTATTATTCAAAAGATATGTACGGTGTATGATACAGTAAAATATATAAAGAAAATTTATTATCTTTTATTTATCGACTTTCCTTAATTAAGTGATCAGTTTAAAATTATTCCTCGTATTCGAGTACGAGGTGCCACGACCCCAAATTGTACCTTCTACGTAAATGGTACGCTTACTTACTGTTTCTAAAAGATTTATTTATTGTAACCACGTATAAGAAGAATACTTGAAAAAAGCATAAAGACGAAAATACGTTTTAGCCACGAAAATTTCGAATTTCTGTGATGCTACGATACGACCTTCAACCACTACTTGAGATGCTCTTGTCCTAAAACGAAAAAAAAGATTGCCAACGCCAGTTATGGTATACGAATCGAAATAACTTTATGTTATAGTTCTAAGTTGTGAACCTTATAGTAATTATGCGCAGCGAAATACTGTAGGGGAAAAGTAATTAGCGAAAATGTAGGAAAACGAACAATAAATTACTTCGATATCATTTAACGTTTTTCTTTTTGTTATTAATTTAGTTTTAAACTTAACTTGTAACAAGAAATATAAAGTAAAACAACAATTTTGCCACTTTAATTTAGAAAAAAACACACACACACACAAAGAAATGTCAAAATATTTTATTAAAACTTAGTAGAGTTGTTTCCGAACTTAATTTAGTATCAACTGTCATTCTCATTATCATGGCGGAGGACGAAGACGGTGTTTCAAATAAAAATTCACCACAAAATTCAAACGATGCAGACTCCAATCAGGAAAATGAACAAAATGATGTAAAGCCAGACCTAGGAATTGAAGAAGCAAAGTACAATAGTCAAGAAAATGGCCACTCCTCGCCCACAAAGCCCAAAAGTTCCTCAACTAGTAAGTGTTCTTCGGATTCGTTTTTTGTTTCGCCAAATAAGTAACATATTTTAAGACATGTAATTCTTTTAGAGTCAACCGGAGCCGTGCGTAAGGAAGAGAATCCGTTTTCATTTCGGCACTTCTTGAAGAGAGATCTTTCGTTGCCGGGCAACTCGACATACGAGCACACTGGTGCAAGGCCTAAGGTTTACTCAAACACAGTTCAACACTCGCCTACTAAAGTAGACGTACACTCGGACTCCAGACGAGAGAAAAATCGTCAGTATGATAATCAAACCAAAGATAAATCAAGCGAGGGCGCCTGCCATCGCCTCAGTGATAATGCACCTTCAACTAGTTCTATGGATGTACCATTTAGTGTGGTAGGGAACTCAAATTCTAAGAATAATTTTTACTCAGAGACTGCTGATGTACCATTTTATCATAGACCAAATTTGGCATCTGAGCCATTGGGGATGCCGTCCCTACCTGACTTTGTACAAGACCACATCTTAGTAGAACAGGCGTATTTACATTCAAATGGACCAATGTCATTGGACTTGGACAATCTGCCGGACTTTACATTTAATACTAACTTTAATGCTGGATCATCGTCATCCTTGGGGAGGAGGAATGAAAACAATTATGTTGGAAGAGGCTATGATTACGATCCATATATGGGAGCATCAACATCATCTGACTCTGGACCATCAAACCGGAATATCCCACTAGACCTGCCGGTAGGGGCAGAAGCTGCAGGTCCTGTTCCACTTGACCATCCTATGCATCTAAGTCTAGACCTCACAGAGTCTGTAAACCCATCAGATAGAAGGAATATGTCACCCCGGAATCAATTTCCATTGGATTTACCACCAAATGCAGGTAAACAGTAATTGATTTTAGTAATAATCATAAGGTAATTAATTGATCCATAAACTGATAGAAATGTATTGTAACTTAGTATTACAAGCACATACAAAAGCCATAATTTTCAATGCTAGCTATTTTAAATTAGCATACAATAGGTGTGAAGTATTTATTTCCTCATAGAATAAGTTCAGGCTACTTTTATTATTTATCTATTAGACAAAAGCATAAATTTAAAAGTACAATAAGAGACGTTATAAGTGGTACAGAAACCCACAAGATTTATGTGTAACCACTGGTCGCTTAGTTTATAGCATATAAAAATAATAAAGAAACTTAGACTATTTTACTCACAAACAATGCTGTTTTTCAACGGTGAAAGAATTTGAAATCGGCCCAGTAGCCCCCGAGCCAATACAATGCATACAAAAATACAAATCTCTCCTCTTTATAATATTAGTATAGATTATTTTAATTTACGCATTACATATTTGTTGTTCTAACAAGGCCGATTTCAAATTAATTTTACATTTCGATGGTTTTTTAATTATTTGTTCGAGCAAAGTTCTTAGATATACATATCTATCAAACTGCTTTTGTTCAATATAATATATGGTTGACACATTTTAAAAAACATTTTATACAGTCAGCTCCAAATTTGTATAGAAAAATGAAACTTCAATTAATTTTTTACAACTTCGGTTTTAAATGTATGTATGCACAAATCTGTGTGTATGTCAGATTGTCTGTCTGATTGTCAGAATGACAATGAATTCATGCTATTGATAAGTATGTGCATTAATCTTTTGAAACTGAAAATCTATTCAAGTTTGTTAATCTTACTAATATTATAAATGTGAAAGTTTATATGGATGGATAATAGAGTTTGTAGCTAAACCAATTGGACAGATCTCAACGAAATTTGGCATAAATAAAGAGGGAAGTCTGGAAGTTCACATAGGCTACAGACTTGCGAGTGAAAGTTTGTTGCAGCTGACTACATTATTTTCGGCTTATCAAACAGCTTAACAAATCTAGATGTAGTTTGGAACCGAGGTAGATAGAGTGTGGCATAGCACATTAGCTACTTATTAAATTTATTATAATACCACTTGGACAGAGTTATACCTAGAAAGATAGATGGATTGCATAAAAGATGACATGATCAAGAAGGGAGTGATAACTGAGATGACATTTGATAATGGTTGTGTAGAGAACAAAAACCTGTTGCGCCAACCCTACAGGAGTAGGAAGAAGATGACCATTTCGACAGAGTTTTGAGCAGTTATATAAATAATGGTTATATCATAGGTGCTGAATCAAAACGTCTGCCAGACTTCCTGCCTGTCCACCCAGGCCGAACATCCCCGGAGCCTGAACACCAGGATGAACAGCTGCAGCAGATCATGAGCGAGCTGGAGAGAACCAGGTAAAACCTTTCTCTTCCTTATTGATGTAATTGTTTTTTTAAAATGTGTCTTACTAATATTATAAATACGAAAGTTGAGACGGATGGATGTTTATTAGAGTTTTAACCTAAATTACTAAATGGATTTCAATGAAATTTGGCAAAGATGTCAATCATAGTCTGAAAGAGCATGTAGGCTTACTAAGTTATTTAATTTCCATGTGGACAGAGCCGCGGGCGTTATCTAGTATCTCATATCTATTTAACTTAGTAGATTTGTAAGGAAATTTTATAAATACAACTTTTCCTGTACAGAATTTTATGCACAATTTAAGTCGCAAGCAAAAGCAATGGCAATGCAATTTGGTAATAATTCTTATTTATTAAATTTCATTGTTTTAATTTATTTTATTTTAATATTCATTCAGTTAATTTAAACAGCATTGTCCAAATTATAAAATTGTGAAGTATAGAATATTGAGGCCATTGCAATGTATGATTACTGTGTATTATGTCCCTTGTTACTTGTATTATGATTTTCATATAACTATAGCGTAGCTTGATGCGGGGGGAAGGGCACAGCGTGCATATGACCTTGGGCTATCAAGATATTTTAAAAGCGTGTTAATTGCAAAGAATGAAAAATATGCAAGGCAAGCACCTTACAATTTAACTTTCGCCCGAAACTTCATCCGCGTTGAAATATAAAAAAAAAGTAGCCTATGTGTTCTTCCAGAATGTCCTCTACTTCTATGCCTAATATCGAAATCTGTTCAACAGTTTAGGCTACAAACTCCAACAAACATCCATCTAAACTTTCGCATTTATGATGTTAGTAAGAAGTATTAACAGTGGGAGAGCCCGCTTTAACATCTCCGCACGAATGGGCCGGCTCGCCCCCAGCAATACCACGACCACACAAAAAACAGGCGTGAAGTGGAAGCAATTCCGCGTTTCGTCTGATAAGTGTGGTGCCGGAGGCCTAATTTTGGTCTCTTTTCCTTTCCACCCTGTTCTTAACAGGAAAGGATGGGAAGGAAAGGTGGATTTGACGATGGAGGTGACGCATAGGAAGGTGAAATGTCATTTTTATGTGCGTATCCTCCTCCGTCAACTAAGGGTAGGCAACGCATCTGCAATTGCGGGGTGTTTATAGGCAGCGGTCGCCTTCGGTGGATTCAGGTCGCCGCTTGCTCGTTTGCCATCTTATATTATAAAAAAAAAATTGATATATTAGGTCGGAGTTATTCACGGAGCGCAGCCGGCGGTGCCGCGCGGAGGAGGAGGCGGCCAGCGCACGCGCCAGGCTCGCCGAGCGGGAGCGCGCGCTGCGGGACCACGTGTGCGCGTCCCCCGCACCCGCCAGCGCCGCCGCCCCCGCACTGCCCACACTGCCCACACTGCCCACACTGCCCACACACATACAGCTCGCCGAGGTCAGTGTAAGTAATATTGTATAAGTTACCGCCAAAAAAAACAAACGGGATTCTTAAAAAAAAGAATATACAGTAAAACCTCGATAACTCAAACCTCGGTAACTTACAATCCTCTCTAACTTCAAAAAATAATATGTTCCCTTCCCATCAGAGCCCAAATCCTTAACAACATAGAACTTTAATAACTTAAAACCTCTATAACTTAAAATATTTTGTGTTTCCCTTGGACTTTAACTTATCGAGGTTCTAGTGTATATGTATATTAAGTTATTGGTAACTAGGAGATGGAGGCAGACATTTTAATTTAAATTTAATTGACAGATTTCTAAATTATTCTATATGTATTTAATTGTACATGTGTGAAACTCATCCTTATCTGTTTCAATTCCAGGCTCGAAGTACGGACCTCGAAGTTGTGTCGAAACTGAAAAATGAAATCAAAAAATTAAAGGTATCTACTACTCCCATGGTTTTCTCTAAATGTTCCACGAGCACTAGAATAAACACGTATATTTTCTACATATTTGGTATGTCTAATTCTAGCTCAATTGAGTTAGAATAATATAAGAATGAAAACACGATAAGCCCGTAACCTTGAACCGCTCCGCTCGAGTGCTGGAATACGACTGACTGCCCGCGTAGTCAATACACTATCCGTAGTCAATTCACTATCCATAGTCAATACACCATCTGTAGTCAATAGAGGTTATTGCAGGAATTGTACATTTTGGTATACGTGTGTCAGGAGCAGCTGCGCGCGTCGCAGGCGGAGGCGCGGGCGCTGCGCGGGGCGCAGGCCGGGGCCGCCGCCGACCTGCGCCGCGCCACGCGCCTCGCGGACACCTCGCTCAGGTATACATTCTGATCATTTTATACTTGCTTACGCCACCGACTGTCCGCGTGCAATTAAAACAAAAGTGTGTAGCCTATGTATTCTTTCGGACTATCCTCTACATTTATGTCAAATTTCATTGAGATCCGTTCAGCTGTTTAGGCTACAAAGTCTAACAAACATCCAACTAAACTTTCGCATTTATAATATTAGTAAGATTAAAATAAGAACATTCTTAATATTGACCTCACACTAAAAAAAATTAACGAGTACAGATTGCAATAAAATAATATTTTATAACATATAGTAAATAACGTTATTGCAGTAATAAAATTATCTATATCTATACTAATATTATAAAGAGGAAAGATTTGTATTTTTGTATATATTTGATTCACGCAAAAACTACTTGACCGATTTTAAAAATTCATTCACCAGAAAGGTAATTTATCTGTAAGGAAAATAGGCTTTATGAAATAATTACTAATATTTTATACTTTCATAGTAACTATTGTATTTGTATTATAAAATAATATTGTGTATATCTGCAGAGAGTTGCTCGCCGGCTTGGAGCAGCTGAACACGCTGAGCTCGCGGCTGGACCCCACGTGATCCCCATCGCCCCCGCACCCCGCGTAACTGACGTCTAACTGTCAAACTGACGTCCCACAACTGTCAAACTGACGTCCCACAACTGTCAAATTGACGTCAGCCACAGTCAATCTGACGTCTGCTGTTAAACTACTGTCTGCTATGAAACTGACGTCTGTAACCTGTCATATGTCTGCTTCAGTCGTCTTCTGTCAAATTGACGTCCGCCACCTGTCAAATTGACAGCAGTCAATCTGACTGCTGGTAAACGTCTGCCATCTGTCAAACGTTTTGTGTGACGGTTGACAGCTCTGGAACATTCCGTTTCACAATGATTTTATAAAATTATAATTATGCTGTTTAAAAAATTATTACAATACGATGTTACTTTTGGCAATAATGGATGTAAAAAAATGTTTTGAGAATAATTGATACTTTAATTGGCGTGTGGGAAAATCGTAAAGTTAAAAAATAAGGCAAAATGTAATTATGGCTTTAATTATTTAACAAATTAAGGAATATTTCAGAGCTGTCAACAATAACCTCTAAAAACTGTAGTGGTATTTAAAAAGTTTAAAATATTGCAGTTTTAAATAAGCATTGCAGCAAGTTTTAAATATTGAAAAGTCGGGGCGTGTCGATAAATGTAACTTAAGTTAGCGGAATTATGTTTTTTATAACTTAAGAGTTCCTCCATTTTACAATATTCGTCATCACAAGTAATTTATTATAAAATTTTAACGTGATCGTATTTTATTTATATTTATTGTTCATTTTTAATTTGTACGCAGTTTGAATGGAGCTTGTTTGTGTGGAATTAAATGAGCTGATTTTAATATTTTATTTGACAGTGACGTTTTATTTGCCATAGATTATGTAAAAATAATGCGTCCTCGTGGTGTTTGAATTTAAAAATATAATTTTAGTCCCTTTCCATCCTTTTCTTATAAGAAAAGGATGGAAAGTGGATTTGACGTTAGATAGGCATAGGGAAGGGAAATATCCTCTTTATGCGTCTCCGTCGGTTAAATGTAGACAACACATTTGTATGCGGATGTCTCTGGGTAGTCGATTCGCCATTTTGGCGAATTCAGGAGCTCGTTTACATTATATAAAAACTGTGAATTATTCGCCGCAAAATAATGAAGCTATGTATTTTTTAAATAAATTATAAATATACAATTACCCGTGGTTATCCGCTTTATAAATTGACGTATTCATGATTTATGCATATTTTTGGATTATTTTTAAACATATGTACATATTTTTGATTCAGAAGGAAGCGGTAATTTCCTACTTAGCAAGAATATTGGCGAAGTAATATATTCATTTCTCAATGTCTTCTGATTTATTAAAAAAACACAAATATTTTTTTGGCTGGAAAGTAAAATTGTAAATGAAATAAAGTAATTTTAATATGTAATGGTTCATTTAAGAAAAATCGGTAGTTGAAGAAAAATCAACTTCTGTAAAATATAAAACCTAAGAACTGTTGAGTTTGAGTCATTTTAGTTCATACATGAGGCGTCTGATGACGTCATCACAGCGTATATAGTATGAGGGTTCATACACAGATTCCAGCAAGTATTGCAGATTATTATCGCAAATAAAATAGAGTTTTATTCCATCGGTGTAAGGTTTAATTTTATTTTGAACTTTTACTCTTTCTCTTGGTAATACGTGCTAAGTAAAATTAAACCTTATTTCAATAGCGTAAAGCACAATTTTATTTGCGACAACTTCTCTTGTTAAAATATACTATATGTTATATAGTGAAAACATAGCTTTTTATGGTGCAAGAATTTTTGAAATCGGTCCAGTAGTTTTTGAGTAATTTCAATACATACAAAAATCGAGAAATACAAATCTTTCCTCTTTATAATGTGATAATCTGCAATACTCTACGCTCAGGTGTAGACCCTAAAAGTTTCAATTGAATTAAATTATGCTCTATGTTTAATATTGTTTTTTAGTTTGGTGTTTTATTAAATAAATGAAAATAAAGGACAATATATGTTGAATATTGAAATTATTGAAAAATTTCAATTAAACTTTAAGTTAAGAACTTAAAGATTTAAAAGGAATTTTAAAAACGTAAGCTGAAGGCATAGCGTCGCTCCTTGTATGAATATAGGAGATTTTCTTATTAATTTCTTGATATTTTCAATGTAAAACACTATATTATATATTTATTAAAGTTTTATGAATATTTTTGTGTCTAGCGGACCGCAGTGTGGTATATTTTTCGTACATAAAAAAATTAAATTGTAAACCATATGACGGATGGATATTTGAATGTCCAATGTGAAAATTTGATTGTATATTATTTACTTATTGTCACAATAAGATGTATTTGTAGTATATAAATATCGAAATATACGTAAAATAAAATCTCTCATGTATTTTTATTTTATTACCCTTTGTATTGAAGTTTCCCAATTTTTTCTGTCATAAATTTTTTGGTTTATTTTCTACTAGCTTTCGCCCGCGACTCCGTCCGCGTAGAATTAACAAAGAACAAAAGTGAGTATTCTATGTGTTCTTCCAGACTTTCCCCTACATCTATACCAAATTTCATCGAAATCCGTTCAGCGGTTTAGGCTACAAAGTCTAATAAACATCTATCCATCTAAATTTTCGCTTTTATAATATTAGTATGAAGTATAATTGCGAAAATCTGATAGAAACGCCGACATTTATAGTTTGAATAGGGTTGATTAGTTTGATTGATATGTAAAATATCGTAAATTGGTATTGAACTGCACACATTTTTTTAAACATAAATAAACCAGCGCTTGACCACGATTCCACTTAATCTAAGTGAAGAAGCGGTCGAAGGATAAATGTGTGCTAGCTCAATAAGTGCCGATTCACACTATATTCACACATATATGAAGACAAAAAGTAAAAATTTCGTTCGCCTCATTTATGAATTGAAATAGCTAAAAGCACCCTGTACATCCATATTACACTTTTATATTTTTGCTTGAAAAAGTAATTAAAACCACGCGTTTCCTGAGATTTCAATATTCACGTTTTAATATTCTTATCCAAATCATAAAATTTCTTTGTACTGTATCTTTCTACAGTTTAGTAAATATAAGAAATTAATAATAAAAAGTACGAGAAACCTCAATAAGTCAATTAGTTAATTCAAAATTTATTATTTGAAAATCTCAAACATTGATATCATTGTTAAAAAGTTAAAAAAAATAAAAATAAAACATCCTATCTATATAAACACCTATGTATATGTTGCGCTTTTTATTCTTGAAATGCTTGACTTTAAACTAATTTATTTTATTTATTAATAGCGTTAGTTTGTTTTGGTTATTTGACGCTAGTAAGAATTAGGTGAATTTTTAAAGGAATTTCGCTTATATGTCTCCTCTATATGGTTTTTTTTAATCTTTGGCTAACCAGAGATTAAAAAATAAGTAAAAAATAAAACAAAAAACCATAAATATATTTGTTTTATTTCAAATGAAACAAGGCATTATTCATAATTTAGGAATGTATATAATAATACTTAAAATTCAGATCATAACATGAATAACGAAATATACAAATAAAAAATGGTTCTATACATTATATTTTTAAAATATAAACTCCAATAATAACATTATTTACTTCTTAAATAATTTTAGTTGAATAAGTAATTTCGCTAAATCAAACTTTTTCCTTTACAACATTATACAAGTCAACCTCGTTTTATTTAACAGACAGTACGTCGTTATTAAAAGTGTTTTTTTTTTTATCAAACATAAACTAAAAGCACACAGACCCGTTCATATTTGAAATCTACACTAAAAGGCGGTCTTAGTGACCAGTCTCACCCAGTGACCAATATCCCTTAGTAACCGAGTTCCCCTAGTGACTAAGTTCCTATAGTGACCAAGCTCACCTAGTTACCAAGTTCCCATAGTGACCGAGCTCACCTAGTAACCAAGTTCCCCTAGTGATCAAGCTCACGTAGTAACCAAGTTCCCATAGTGACCGAGTTTACCTAGTTACCAAGTTGCCCTAGTGATCAAGCTCACCTAGTAACCAAGTTCCCATAGTGACCGAGTTTACCTAGTTACCAAGTTCCCTAGAGACCAAGCTCACCTAGTTACCAAGTTCCCATAGTGACCGAGCTCACTTAGTCACCAAATTGACTAAGTTCACTAAAGAAGTAAGTAAGGTCACTAAGGGAGTGACCAGACTCCTCAGTAAGCAAGCTGCCTTAGTTACATCGTGTGTGAGTGCTACTGCGTGTTGTAGAGATGGTCCCAGTGCGCCGGACACTGCAGGAAGTACTTGCGGCAGGCGGCACAGAACCGCCG